TTAATAAAAAATGATACATTAAAATAATGGCTATACAGTAGTTGATAAAATATGATAAATTAAAATAATAGTTATATAGTAGCTGATAAAAAATGATGAATAAATATAAAGAAAGTAAAAGATTATTTTTTTTTATTTTTTTTAACAATGAGTAATAATAAAGATCTTCTACCTTTATTTTTCAATATTTTACAAAATATTGAAACACCCAGCAATATTATTATAAGCAGCTTTCTAATTAATGAGCCTCTAGTTTCTAATGAAGTTAATGTCTTAACTTGTAATAATAAAATTGCCAATGCATCAATATTTAATAATAAAAAATTAATAAAACACAACTAATCTACAGTGTAGCAATATTTTAACATCAATGATTCAGAACATTTTGATTATTCTAATTATTCTGTTTGTAATAAATGTGAGACTATTTTTGTGCCTGATACTGCAATATCAACTTTAAGAAGACATTTAAATTTATATAGAATAATTGCACCTACATGAGGCAAAATGGCTGTAAATAGGTAAAAAAAATAATACAATTAAAAATAAATAAACATAAATAAAAATTAAAACTAAAAATAAAATAAAATATAACTAAAATAATTAATTTTAAAATTAAATCTATATATTATTTTATAATTAGCCCATATAATAATTCATATACTGAATATGAACAACAAAAACAAGATAAAGTTGTTCTTAGATGAATAATTTGTAATTTAAAGTTTTTTGATACTGTAGAAAGTGAAGAATAGTGTTTAATGATTTCTAAATTTGATCTAAAGTATATATTTTGTAATCAGCACACTATAAGTAATCATGTTATAACACTTTACTAAGAACAAAAAGAGAAAATAAAATCGTTGATTAGTAAAATTCCTGGAAAAATTTCTTTTATAGCTGATATTAAACAGCATTAAATGGATCAGCCTTTCCAAGTTTAACAATTCATTATATTGATTCTTTTTAGATATATAAAAATTTCCTCCTTGATATAATTCCTATAATAATACAACATACTGAACTTAATATAACTAATTCCATTATATTAGTTTTTGATGAATTTAACTTAGCCACTAAGGCTCTAGCATTAACAACTGACAATGCCTCTTTGATAAACTCTTGTGGTGCTTTAGTAGTAGCAGAGTTGGAAAAGAAGTTTAATAATTTAAATTTTGCTTATTATCATTACTTAACTTATGTATTAAATCTGATAGTTATAAAAAGAATTAAATTAATTGATTCATCAATTAAAAAAATACAATTATATTAAGTTACATTAAATCTTCTCAGCCAATAAGTAATAATTTAAAGCATTTGTGTAAGGCCAAAAATATAAAATACTTAGTTCCAGAATTGGATATAAAAATGTACTGAAACTTTGTTTATTATATGTTAGAAAAATAGAAAAAAATGAAACCTGCATTGAAATTACTTTCTAATAATAATTTATTAATTAACTAATAATATCTTAATAAAGAAGACTGTATCAATATTAATGATACAATGCTTTTTTTAAAACTATTTGTACATGCTACTTGTTATCTATCAGCATCATGATATTTAATATATGAAACTATTCAGTTTGTCTTTCTCAGAATTCAAGAACATTTGATCTAATATTTTAAATATGAAAGAATTTATACAACCTAAAATGGCAAATACAATTTACAAAAAATTAAATGAATATTAGCCAATTATAGATAAATTATCAAAAATTTCATCTTTATTAGACCCAAGTATAAAATTATCTGCATTTAGCAATGAGTTAGAAAAAAACTAAGTAAAGCAATTAATTCTAAATTTTCTGAAATATAGATTAAAATCATAATCATTAGTAGTTATTTTAGTAGATAATTTTATTAAGATACAAAACTATTATCAGTTACTATGAAATAACAGCACAGTTACTTCTAATATTTTTTTCACATTTTTGTTCCTTTCACCTATCTTATTTCTTCTGCTTTATCTATTCTATCTACTCAACTAATTTATTTTACTTCTTTTATTTCTTCTATCTTATCTAGTTTTACTACATCAATTTTTCTTCTGATTCTTATACATTACCAGCAAATACTTCAAATAAATTATGAAACAAACTAGAAAACTATTTGCTATTGTTATTGAAAGATAATTCAAATCTATTAATGTGATGACAAATACAGAATGATTATTATACTTTAAATTTAATTGCAAGAGATTATTTGTCTATACAAGCTATTAGCATGGCTTCAAAACAAGCATTCTCTATAGTTGGTCTTACTATTTCAAACAAAAGAAATAGGTTAGATGATGAATCTGCCAAGACAATTCTGTGTCTAAAAAGTTGGCTTTAAAAAAAAATTTGCATTTTGGATAATTAGAAAATTATTGTAATTGCTTTATTGCATTAAATTAGTATACTTTGATAATTGAAAACTATTGTAACTGTTAAATTTGCTTTATTAATTTGTTTTGTAAAAAAAAAATATTTACAATAAATATTTAATATATATATACAAAGATATGTTGCATTAAGAAAATATAATGATAAGAACATTCACCTTGTAGTTTGAATATTTACAATAAATGTTTGTCTTGTAGTTTGAATACTTACAATAAATATTTAATAAATATATATACATATATACCATATTAATAAAAATAACAGAAGTGTAGTGACCTAGTAAAGTGATCAGGTTGTCAACTCCCAAGTGGTAGGTTGGGTGTTCAAATCCAATCAACAGTGAAAATTTGAATAATTACCTATGTAATATTTATATTATAGCAACTATTACTAATGGTTAAGTTAGGATACCTGTAATGATGGTCACACTAGTATGACTGGCAGGTCATGGGGTATCTGTACAATGTTGAAGTTATACAAAAGAATGCAAACTGACATATCGGGTGGTGCAAATACTAGATAAGTTCTCATGACTGTGTAAATCTGTTGAAATTGGATAACAAGAAGTCCATTTGGGAAGACCTGAGTAGAGAGGTAGCTGGATCTTTGACAGCCCTACTGTAAAGACTAGTTTGGCAAAATGGATATTTAGGTCTAGTACCCAGTCCTATTAGCTGAACAGACAAGAACCTCTGGGTTCAGAGTCTTGAAGGTACTACCAACCAGGCCATTAGAATGAACCAGAGGAAAAAGATATTGAGCTGACCTGATATATCGATGAACTGGTCATAGTTCTATATGAGCTATCTGAATTGGGAGTTTGGTAAAAGGACAGAGGAAAAGGCAGTGGTATACTAAAATACCAGGATTATGCTGTAAAGTAGATGCTGGGATCTAAGTGAACTCTACAAGAGCATGGCAGTTTAATGGTTAACCCTGACCGCAAGTGTTGATTCAGCCATAGTGATACCTAGATTAGCTGTAAAAATAAATACAGAAGACTCTGGAAGGTTTACCTTGAGGATAAATTAGTCCTAAGGTTAAGACAATGATCTGGGCATCTGAATATGACCCAGTGATGTTAACATAGGTTACAGGTTCAGAGAGTTAAAGTAAAATACCCAAGCATAGATGTTAGTTACAGTAATTAGTGGAGAACCTTCGAGCAGATTCCTTAATAGGTAATATAGAAAAGTTACATGTGTAACCAATTGTATGCTCTCCTGTAGTGGTTCATTAAACCACAATACTGATAAGAAATTAATAAAAGTCAAAAGACCAAAGAAGTCACCTTAACATAAAAAAAAAAAAAAAAAAATCAATAAAAATAATGAAAAGAATGAGTCTTGAAGCTTAAGTTGATATAAAAAAATTCTTATCGTAAGACCAATTTTAGAACCAAAAGACAGATGGATCGGACTGACTAACACCATTAAATCAGTCCTATAGGGACCAGGACGGACTAGGACAGACCGATCTATCACTATGTATTATCACAAGTTACATTTTTGGTTATAACATCTTTTTCTAAAATAGGAATAACTGTGCTTATAGGGTACCCTTATGTCCAGAAAATCCTGGGCTGAAGATCACTTCTGACCCCTATCCGGATCCAATAAAATTACAGGATCTTGTATAACAAAACAAACGCACAAAACATAAGAAATTGTAAAAAAACATAATAACAAATATTTACTATTGACACTATCGATTCTCAAACGGATATGTTGTGAAACCTATAAATAGCTTAGTCGATAAGAGGTGGTTAGATTTGGCAAGTGGTATGTTTATGATCATAGGTTTTACAAGGAGCAAAGGTCAGGGAATTATAAGGTTTGTGAACAGTAGGGTGGTAATGCCGGAAGCTCGTTTAAGCAGGTGATCGGTGTGGCACAGTAATGAATAAATGGCTATGCTGATCACTTACCTTAAATGGGTTTCCCAGCAGTATACGCTGTATTCGCAGTATACTATGTATTCCAGTGATGGCAAAATGACAAATATGACTTTTTTTTAACAAATAAATGACATGTAAATTTATAAAACAATAATAAAAATCATTTTTTATGACAAAAAATGACATTTATTTATGACATTCAACTCAATAATTTTGTCAAATTGCTATCACTGATGTATTCTACGTATCGGGTGAATAATGGGTATCAGTGGGATCAAGGGTATACTTAAAATAATCAGTATCATTAGTATAATGAGTATAAACGTTATAAAGTGTATAATGTGTACTATGTAAATGAAAGTATATAATAAAGGCTTTGAGCCCTTCAAGAACAGTTCAGTTAGTTAGTTCTCATCATAAATTCACTCCTAATAATTTCTCTGTCTAAACATATTATAAAACCTACGATTATAAATACACCACTTTCCAAATCTAACCGCCTCTTATCGACTAAGCCGTTCGTAGGTTACATGATGTATCCGATTGAGAAGGGACCGAAACGCCAATGCAGTTTGCTGGTGTCATTTTGGTGGTGACTGTGAGATACGAAATGTTAGCTACCCCCCTCCCCTGATTCGAAAATTTCATATTAGTGCCTGAAAACTCCTTCTTTTTATAACTATACTGTTGAAAAAATACCTCTCTATTAAAGCCAGAATGAATAAGGATCAGCTAAAAGAACTTCTGGACAGCTTAACTACATCTTTTACCCAAGTTGCAACTACTATCACTAACTCCAAGAAGGACCCCGAAGACCAAAGGGAGTTGACTTATGTTAAGATTGTCTCCTTCTACGGAAATGATGATGAAGATCCCATCGAGTGGTTGGAGTTGTTCAAAAGAACCACCGTGGCTAATAATTAGTCTGAGCATAGAATGTTAAAAATCACGTCTGGATATCTCCAAGGTTTAGCTACTGACTGGTATAAAGGAAAAAAGGAAAAGCTGAAAGAGTAGAAGAACGATGACGATCAAGAAGGAAGCTTTTATCATGCTTTTCTAGAATTTTTCGCTACACCAGAGAAACACCACCTTTGGCAGATAGAGTTGAATAGTCCCCAACAATGAAAGAATAAGAAGGTCAATGCATATGCAGCAAAGTTTAAACGTCTTGTTGCCAGAGTGGACCTCAAAGAAGAGTTGCCCGACTCCTACATTATTAGGATGTTTTTAAGCAGGCTACGTGGCAAGACCCCGATCTTTGTAGCCATTTCTGAGCCTGATACTTTAGAAGGGAACCATTGTCAGCGCATGAAGGGTTGAAGCTGGTGAATACTATAGCAAGCAGACTCAAGAAAAAGGGCACCAAAAGAAGTTGGAAGAAGAATTAGGCAATCTATTCCAGAAAATTGAGCAGATAGACTTGAATTACACTGCCCTTAGTGAGAAATGTTCTAAAGAGCCTTGTATTGAGAGTAGATGGAAGAGTAATAGTGACCAAGAGAAGTGCCGTGAAGTTAGGAAGCGTATAACATGCTATAACTGTAGTGAGGTTGGCTATATTGCTCAGCATTGTCTATCGAAAAAGACCCCAAGGATTAGTAGTGAACACAAGCCCAGCAACTATATTAGAAAAAGTGTGTCCTATAGTAGTGACGAAGGCTGGAAAGAGGATGAAGTGTACACCCTGAACAAAAACTGATACTAGCTATATGAGGGAAACAGTAAGAAGGTAGTTTAGAGCTGACTGGAACCCAAGTAGGAGAACCGTCTAAGAAATCGCGATACAGCAAATGCAACACCATTAGTTAACCTAGAGGAAGCCCTTGATGAGATGGTAGAAGATAAGTTTGTATCTACAAGAAGAACAAAGAAAAAGCGTAACCTGTTGGTAATTGATAAACTCGTTTCCTATAATGTTGCAGAAGATATTATGAATGCTCCTGCTAACAACATGATAGGCCAAATGCTTCAGTACCCCAACCAAAGGAGGAACCTTGCCCTAGCTTTGTGAAGGCCATTACCATCCATTCAAGAGGCCAGCCATGTGAAATTCAAGGATGATAGGAAAACAACAGTGGCATGTTGTTATGTTAGAATTTGTGATAACCCGTTTGTGGCAGTGTTAGACTCCGGAGCAGCCATCAGTATTATGACCAAGAAGCTGATCGATAAGTTAGGACTTCGTATACAGTCGAAATCATCTACTGTCGTAGTTACAGCTACGGGTGCCAAAACAAGAGCACTGGGCAAAATCAATAACATAAGGATAATAGTTCAAGATGCAATAATCTCTAGCACCCTACAGTTCATAGAATCATCGAATGAAACCTTACTATTAGAAACTGATTGGTTCCAAAAGGCCAAACACAGCTCTACTTCGATGAATGATGGTTAATCTTGAAGCACCAAGGTCAGACTATAGAGGTGCCTATCTCCTATACTGGTACGAAAAGCTTGAGAGAACCCAGGAAGGACAATTGGGAAAAAGGTAGTAGTAACATGTTCGATGAGTTTACGTATGAAGATGAACAATTAGATGAGATCGATAAATATTACACTGTAGAATCTTCTGACGATGAAATCGACCTCTATAGTAACCTGTGGAAGGATGAAATTAGCCTGGCAATATATCTAACATTAGTTGAGGAAGTAACTATCTAGAAAAAGAAGAAAAACAAGCCTACCATGATGGAACAATTAGAAAAATTTGCCCAAGCCAACACCTTAAGTAAAGAAGAGAAAGAAGAAGCCCATATCTTCTTTAAAAAGGAGAGCTGTTTGCTCACAATAGGCCTTAATAAATTAGAGACGACTAGCCTCGTAACCCACTATGTAGATACCGGTGAAGCTAGACCTATCAAGTAGCATTTTTATAGGATGTCACCTGATGAGCAAGAATTCTTAGATAATGAGCTAGAGTTGTTAGAAAGACAAGAGTTGATCGAAAAATTCAAAAGTTCATGGGCGTATTCATGGTAATTGTTCCAAAGAAGGGTGGTAAGTTGCACATGTTTATAGACTACCAGCAGCTAAATTCAGCCACGAAAAAGGATGCGTACCCGCTCTCACGCATAGACAACTTACTGGAAACATTTAGAGAGGTGAACTGGTTTACCAGTTTGGACCTTAGGAGTGGTTACTGGCAAGTACGAATGAATCCAAGTGACCAAGAAAAGACGTTGTTTATGACTAGGAAGGGCTTGTACGAATTCAAGGTGATGCTGTTCGGGTTGTGTAACGCATCTGCGACGTTCCAGTGATTGATGGATAAGGTATTGGTGTAATATATAGGAAAGTTCATAGTGGTATATATCGACAATATCAACATATACTCCAGAACATTTTAGGAACATTTGGAACACCTAAAGGAAGTGTTTATAAAATTGAATTTAGCTGGCTTGAAAATTAACCTAGAAAAATGTAGCTTTTTTAAGACCGATCTCCAGTTCTTGGACTACATCATTGGGCGTAGCAGTATTCGACCTGACAAGACAAAGGTCGACAAAGTAAAGCACTATCCAGTACCCAAAAGCCCCTCTACAACTAAGAGCTTTTATAGAACTAGTGTCCTATTATCGTCGATTTATTAGAGGCTTTGCAAACATTGCGCAACCTTTGCATAGCCTATTAAAGAAGAACATTAGATATGAATGGACTAGCAAACAACAAATTGCCTTCAAAAAATTAAAGACATACCTAACCATAGCATCTGTCCTCCAGTATTCAAACTTTTCAAAGACATTTTACTTACATACAGATGCGTCTGGTACATGGTTAGGGGCAGTATTAGTACAAAAGGGAGAAAATGGCAAGGATCATGCAATTTCGTACGCTAGTAGAGGGCTGTCACAGGCGGAGAAGAACTATTCAACCACAAAGCAGGAGTGTCTTGCAGTGCTGTAGGCTGTTGAGTATTATCGCCATTACTTTGGCTTCAGGCCATTTGTAGTAATAACCAACCATGTGGCGTTAAAATGGCTCCATACATCAAAACTAAATGGACGATGGGCTAGATGGATTATATGATTGCAGCCCTACAATTATACTATAGAACATCGGGCTGGTAAAAAGCATAGTGATGCAAATGCACTTTCATGACAACATGACCCTCCAGAAGTCAGTAGTAATAGGATAGAAGTAGATGTTAGTGTACAGAAATGTAGAGAATGGTTACTCTCTTTAGTGGAATGTGACATTGAGGAAGGCCTATATGAGACGGAATTAGGTGGATATACTGGGTGGAGTGTTGAAAACGTAGAACTAACTGCACATCACGATGATGACGAATAGGACAATAGTGAATGGATTGATGAAGAAACAGAGACCTGGTAAAATTTGGATGAAGAATTCGAGGTATATACAGTGATAGAGGAGGATGGTGAGGACAATGACCTAAAATTAGAAGAATACATAGAGTTAAGAGAAGATGCAACAGAAAACATAACTACCATTGATGGAAATAAACTAGGAATCCAAGATGGTAACCTGATGAAGTTCCAAAAATTGATGATAGGGTACCATATGGCATTATGCTTCACTCACCTGACTAGGTTCTATGGTAAAGTATACTATGTATATTTCCACCCAACTGAATTCGACCATTATGCCCTAGAAGTGCTGAATCGACATAAGACCATCCACCTGGCACAATATTGCGGTTATCGATTGTTAGCGCATGACCCTCAAAATTTGCTGATATTGTGGGATTGGATCGTTAGTAGAGCACGACAAGAGTTGGCTCGAAGGAAATACTTGTGGAATACTGGGATCGATTTAGGATATACTAAGCCACTGAACAAGGGAGCAGTTAATGCCGATAGGAATATACTGTTAAGGAGGAATGGTGGACCTATAATCATAAACCCATCAAGATCAATAATGGGCCCTTGACATTCAACTAGAACCCAAAATTGAAAATTAATAAACTTAGCTGCCGTCAAAGAGAAAACCAACTCAAGAAATACATTAGTTAAAGTCTTAGACATTTAATAGAAAATCAAATCTGACGATAAATAATATCCAGACCAGGTTGTCAGTGTCCTGGCCATAGTAAAGAAACAATGAATCCAATACTTATAACAAGGTCAAGCAATACATGTATAATCAATATTTATCCCCAACACAAAATCAAGTACAGAAGAACAGAATAATTAGACTAAGTAGAACCCTAGAACTAAAAGACAGAATTCTTTATAAGCAAACATACATTATCTGGATCGATTAATAAGGATAGTACAGAAACCAGAAATCGATGCCATTCTGCTGATAATACATAACTATCCAATAGAAGGCCACTTCAGAGCAGAAGTAATGTTCGAAAAAATTAGAGGCGTATATTATTGGCCTAAAATGTTTGATAATATAAAAGAATACGTTAGAGCTTGTGACGAATGTCAAAGAAGGGGCAAGCATAAAACGAAAGGTCCATTAAACCCTATACCAGTATCAGCACCCTTCTACAAGGTCAGAATAGATATTGTCAGTCCCTTACCAATAACTCCAAAATCCAACCAGTATATTGTAGTAGCGACGGATTACTTGACCAAGTGGCCTGAGGCCAAGGCAATCCAATTCGCAAATGCTCAAGAAGTCTCTAATTTCATCTTTGATAAAATTATCTGTCATCACAGGTATCCCAAAAAGCTTCTGTCAGATCGTGGTATGCATTTTCTCAACCACATGGTGGGTCTGCTACTAGAAAAGTTCTGCATTAAACACTTATTGTCCACCCCTTATCACCCACAAACGAACAGATTGGTTGAGCATTTTAATAAGACTCTCTGTGAAACTATAGTGAAAATGGTAGATGTTGTTACTGATTGGGATCTGGTGATACCAGCAATCCTGTTTGCTTACCGGATGATGAGACAATCAACAACGAGGATTACCTCATTTTTCTTGACCTATGAACGTAAAGCAAGGCTGCCAATAGAACCGAGTGAAACCAGAGAATTAGCCAATGAAACGATGATACAAAGAACAATAGAACTCATTGAGAACTTACCCAATGTTCATAACTCTGCTATCATACGAGTGCAACAAGCACAAATTAAAATAAAGGAATGATATGACAGACAAATCCAATCAAGCCCCAAATTTGAAATCGGCGATAAGGTCTTGGTATATTGTGCATTGATGGAATATAACAAAAGTGTAAAGTTCGAACCGAAATGGAAAGGACTGTATTATGTACATGAGGTGCTTCCCAAAAACGTATTCAAATTAAGAACTATAACTGAAAACGTTATAGCATCATCCATAAACATTAAATTGCTAAAAAAGTACTACGATCGATGAAGTACTTAAAGAAGAAAATAGACAAACGAGTAGTTAGTAAAATAAAAAAAAAAAAAAAAAAAAAAAAGGACGAAAAATATAAAAAGAAAGGAAAAAGCGTAGGAGGACCTTTTGATTAAATATAATTAACTTTACTATGCTGAGTTTAAATGAAATTATCGTTGATATCACAGCCCATGTGCCTGATGACGTCAATATTACCCCACCGCCATTTAACAAATCACATGATCTCGTGACCGCAGTGACTTTAGCCTACCTATTGTTGTCTCGAACAATGCGATTAAGGAATAGGATCAAGACCCTAGTATACGCATACTACATTGGCATGCTCTTTGCTAATGTGACCAGTGATCAAAGAACACAAATGTGCAGGACATTAACACCACATTATTACCTTATGGCTATAAAAATCTATGATGTTTTTGCCCCTCGTGGTGTTCATCAAATTTACGAGACTTCAAGAGTGACCTTTCAAGACTTTAGGCGGATAACAAGCGAAGAAGCCTGGCAGCTTGTCTGGTGAAGTTCGTGGGACTCACTTTAAGTTGGGGAGGAATGTGAACAGTAGGATGGTAATGCCGGAAGCTCGTTTAAGCAGGTGATCGGTGTGACGCAGTAACGAATAAACGGCTATGCCGATCACTTACCTTAAATGGGTTTCCCGGCAGTATACGCTGTATTCGCAGTA